AACAAAAGAAGTAACCGAAATGGTTGGTCTGGCAGACGATCGAAGGCCAGGAGAAAGCTGTTGCCATTTACAGGTGTGTAAACTTTTAACGCTTGGATCAAAGATCACAGAGGCAAAAATGATTGGTCGATAGCTTAAGATTTTTTCCTTTGTCGTCATATTTGTGAATGAACTTTTTTCTGTTTTTGAAATCTGGCATTGATTTTATCGTAAAAGCTATCCGACTTGGCTTAATTGTAACTATGCAGGAAATACAATTGAAAAAATAATATTTAAAATCGATAGATTGCGCTTAAAAGTATAATTTCTAGTTAATCTTTTATTTAAAATGTAGTTAAATTATGAAATATCTTCTCCTATTTAAATATAAAGTGCAATAAAATCTACATTATTCCTTAGAAAATGCATGGCTATATTCCAAAGCAATTTTAGTGAAAAATTACAGAGATAAAGACCTTTTCTCAATTGCATATGACATATATTTGTATTTATAAACATTGTAGAACCGGGTGAAAGTTATGCTAATTTTAGCGCAATGGCTAAAAGTTGGTAAAATAAAGTAGCTATCATTCCTTTATAAATTTAAACGTGAAAAATATACGCTGATAGTTGAGTCACGATATGTTCACATCCAATTTCTTTTTGCCCAAGAGAACATACCAATTGGATGCCTGCAAGTGAAGTCAACGTAGGTAAATCGTAGCATTAGTGGATTCAGAAGCCAATCAGGTTCGACACACACGTGATGTCGCTTACGGGAATACAATTAGATCTAATTTAAATCATATGGTTAGGCATAATCACTTCTTTTCTTCTTGAGTTGCAGGTACCCAATTATGTTTGTTATTAATCTATTTTTTTACTCCCTCATGATGTTCAATTTAATTTGCCAATAGAACTATTGCCGTCTATGACTAATAGGATGTAGACTAATAAAATTAGTTCATTTATTTTTAATCATATCTAAAATAAAACTAATAAGAAAGCGAACTGTTCATATTAACAAAATGCGCTATATTTTATTTGATCATTCCTATTAATTTACGCAGGTTACATATATGTAATGCATGTTACATATATGTAATGCATGTTACATATATGTAATGCATGTTACATATATGAGAGTGTACATTTAGATTATTTTATATAAAAGTAATTTGAAATAACGCTTCGTAACTGTTTAAATGTTATATCCATTATTAGCTATACTGTTAAATAATAAAGTTTAAAATTAAATTCTTTGATTAACAATGGTCATAAGAAATCAACGTATTATTCAAATAGTTTGTTTTAGAGTTAAATTTAATTAATCTGATCTGCCAAAAATTATACTGTATTATGACATAAGTCATAGAGACCATAATTTTCTGTAATTAAATTATATTTTAATAAACGACTTACTTACAATGTCAAATTTTTTTATTGATTTTTTTTATTAATTTATTTTTGTAAAATTGATGAAAATGGAACTAAAATTATTCATTTGTTTTTGCTTTTTAAGCTAAACTATACTATTTTATATTCATAATTTATAAATAACTTTTATTTTTTATATAAGGTAAGGTGAAGATTTGCCTCGACCCGCCCTATTAAAGGGCACGCGAGGAGAAATATCAACCTGCAAAAGGTTATACAAAAAAAGAACATCGAAAATTAGTTATGTTTAACGTCTATACAGTTGTGCACCATGACAATTCTCAGAGTATATAAACATTTAAAAATGAAAAATATTATAAATACAATAATAATGGTAATAAGATCACAGTGCAACTGAAGTCGATGTCACTGCATAAATCATAAGGTCAAAGAACCCTCATAAATTTAAAATGAATAAAACCACTCAAGATATAAAACTCCAAGACCAAATTATACAATTTAAAACCAGTTAATAAAAAAACTGTGTCAAAAGGGATCGCTGAGGCCAACTGTTTCTCATAAAATTATTAAAACTACTCAAAAGTCAGAAGACCCATATAAATTTAAAACCCAAAAATTAATAAATAGTACACATTAAAAACCATTAGTAAAAAAATGCAAGGATGTAAACTTGCTAAGATAATTAAGATAAGAACACAAAATATCTCAGATAAGAAGTACAAAAAAGAATAAGTTAAAAGTAAAAACACAAAGGGGAAGCTAAAAGTATGGTATTGTAAAAGCAGTAGCTAAAACAACATATTGTAAAAACAATATAGGTTAAAAATGTACAAAGTAAAAAGGTTGAAGGCAAAAACCAAGGAAGGTCATTAAGAGAGACACCTAAGATGGAAATCGCAGGTTGCGAGATTATGATATGGTGTCTGCCAGAACATCCTCTAATGTTTTTTATGATGTTTTTTTTTATATAACTTCTTTTAAATTTTGTTTTAATGTAATGTTTTTTTATATAAATTCAGAATAAAAGTTTTTGTTTTAATAAATGATACAAATTGATATAAGAAAATATTATTTTATAAATAATACTTATAGTACTGAATGGTATTATAATATATGGATGAAACAGTTTCTTGACCTTTTTTTAAATAAATCACGATAACTATCAGTAATATTTTTTTTCATGCGTGTAACAGCAATTAACTTAAATTAGCTATGAAAACATTTCCAGTAGCAATATTTTCTTTTATTTCAATTAGTCTAATTGTACATTTGCGTGCATAATGAATATTTAATATTAATAACTTAAAACTGAAAACAATTTAATAAATAATTTAAAAAAATATTTTCCTTAGTTTAAAGGAAGTCTATATATTTACCATCAGCACTTTATATTTGTGAAATAAGTTTAGAATAAAATATTAATAAAATAATGAAAAGAAAACATTAATTATTTAACTGATTAACTAATTTTTTATTTTTACTTTTATGGATATAAGTACATTTCTTAATATAATGCATATAAAAAGTAATTTTAATAATAGTGAATAAAAACTAACGTTTATAAACTACACATATATAATAGATTTTAACATAATTTCATAAATAATTTTTTAGGAATGAAATTTGAAATTTGCAGAAAAATGTAAGCACAATTTTTGAAATTTTTTTTGTAGCATATATGTTACGATTAACGTAATAAATCTGGTTATTATTAATAATAATCATGATTTTTGGTAAATGTGATAAATTATGCAAATTAATCACATTAACCGATTATTATTAATAATTCTTAATGAAGTTTGATCAGTGTGATTAATACGGCATAGTTTATTAAAACTTCAACTCTTACGTAATTTTAGGTATCTATGCGCTTTGATATAAATGTTTTAAGTATCTGTGTACTTTGATCTATGTGCTTTATGTGTCTATGTGGTTTTTGTGTCTATGTGCTTTATTGGTTACGTGCTCTGATTCAGAAGTCTGTCGCTGCAGAGATTAGTAGAGCTTAAAAATAAACTACAACAAAATATTTTTATTTACTTATAGTTTAATATTAAAAAATAGTTTCAATTCGTTTTTCTTTTTATAGATCATCTTATCTATTGATTAAGGATAATTTTTTAAAACCTGAGATCATGAATTTTATCATCATATTAAAAGAATAATGAAAATATTAGTTTATGGAATACTGATATTAGTAAAAAATCCCTGTTTATTATTTTTTAATAATTAAGGGAAGTGAGCGTCATTGCCCGGTTTATTCTATATGGATATTTTTTTTAAATGTCAAGTGCCACTACTCGGTATACATTTGTTCGGTATACTCTCTTCACTTATAGGGCAAAATTGAGAAATGTTGCTACTGGCCAGTGGCTAGTTGTATCATTTTTAACTGTGGTCAGTTTTTCAAACATTTAAAGATTTAAATAATTAAATAAACTTAATATTAATGTAAGGCATTTTTTACGCTTGTATGAAAATATGGTAAATATTACAAGATTAATTTCTGAAATGAAGAAAACATTTTAAGAAACAAAGCGTAAAACAAAGTATTTTTCAAAATATTATAAAATTTTCATAATATAATTCCATGTTTATTAAAATAATAGGGTGCATTTTGAACGGAAAAAAGTCCTGGTGACGATCGTTAATTTTGCCTTATACTTGCAATGATAATTTTTAAGGTTAAGTGCCACTTCCTGTTGTACATTTTCTCGGTGTACCCTTCCCTAATTTTTTTTAAATAAAAAATATGTCACCCTATCTGCCCTATTTGTCTGTTGATCTGCCCTATACCTGTATTGATGTTTTTTAAGGTAATGTGCCACTAGAATATAATACCACATGTGCAACTAGCACTACCACAGCTTTCAGGATTCCTAAGGTAACGATTCACTGAAGCCTTAGACCTTATTATTTTTCTTGCAGTTTGAGAACCACTCTGGCCAATTTCTTTAAAAGCTAAAATTCCACCTCGTTCATGAAATGAGTTCCCCTTGGCATGGTACTGTGCGTGAAAACAACCAAACTCTGTTTTTATACAACTTGGATTTGCTTCTTGTTCTGGAGGAAACCACTTTCTTGCCTGTTTTATGCCTGACAATAACGTAATTAGTAGCGATTTTATACTTTTTTTCCAGTTGCTTCTATATTGATTATATCAGTTTTGCCAAGATTTAAATGTACAGAATAAAAATAAAATTGTCACGCAAAGCAATTAGGCTCGACATTTGTAAGTAGAAAATAAATGTGCATAGTTAGATATACCAGTAGCGTTTCATATTAGGAGAATTTTTGCTCGGATTTGTAATTTCTTACAGTATTGTATATATACTGTATATATAGTTTAGTACTGTATTTTTTCAGTTCTGCATATGTTTTCAAACGCTTTCTATATTCAATTTTATTAATATAATATTTTTATAACTTTTTATTTTAAAATTCTAGGTATTTTTCTTTTTCTTTTAAGTTAGCTTTGTGACACTAATTGAGGAATTTTATTTTATTGATCTGTTGTGTTACTGATTGGGTTAATTTTAATTGTTCCTCTGTTTATTGCAGAAATAAGCACATCATTTATTGACCATACTTAAGAAAATATATGATAAGCTATAAGAACTTACCTTTATATATTATGTGTTGAAGTTGACTTGTTAGTAGTCGTAGTTCCATATTTGATGGCTCTCCTATCTAAAGTACAATTTTAAATTAGTCACGTAATTTGCTGCACAATCTTATTATATGCTTTTGTATTTGTATATTTCTTTTTAAATTTTCTACTTAGCAACTTTTATTTTTGTTAGATTAACATAATTATGATTTCCCGCATAATGATTTTCTATTGGCCCACCAGTTTACAATTTTACATAAATTTTACAAATATTTTTACAATGTATTTAATAAGTATTAAAGGTTATTTTTGTTTATAATACACTCGATAACAAAAAAATAGACGTACCAAGAAGCAATCATCCGATTGCTTTGAAATTTCGCATGCATGAATGTTTTGAACATATATGGCTGGAATGACGCCGACTGGGGATGCATAGTCCTTGGCGACGAATCCCGCTTCCAACTGTGTCCTGACGATCTTCGAAGACGTGTTTGGAGACGCACAGGGCAGAGGGGGAGGGACCCTGCCTTCACTATTGCACACCGGCCCGCAACAAGGCATTATGGTCTGGGGTGCCAATTCCTTTGACAGCCGGACCCCATTGGTCGTCATTAGAGGTACACTTACTGCACAGCGGTTCGTCGACGACATCCTAAAACCTGTTTTGCCACCGTTCCTTTTGCAGCAGCCTGGGCTGGTTTTTGAGAAGGACAATGCCAGACCACATACGGCACATGTTGCTATGAACTGTCTGCAAGCTTGTCAAACTCTTCCTTGGCCTGCCAGATCACCAGATCTCTCTCCCACCGAGCATGTCTGGGATATGATGGGAAGGCGATTGCAAATGGCGCGGAATGTTGATGACCTCGTTCGACAATTGGATCGAATTTGGCAGGAAATACCGCAAGAGACCATCCGGGAGCTTTATCGGTCTATGCCACGCCGTGTGGCAGCTTGTATCCAGGCTAGAGGCGGGTCAACACCTTATTGAGCTTGTTACTCTAACTCTGCAATAAATTATTCAATTGTTCTGAAATTTTAATCAAATACTATTCAGTACATTGTCTTCGTATCCACCAATTTTCGTTTTAATCGGACAACTCCTTCTTGGTGCGTCGATTTTTTTTGTTATAGAGTGTATAAAGAGGAAAGCATTTGTTAATTATGCAGGGATGATGCAATTAAATTTATTTTTAAATGGCTCGATTAAAGAAAATTTTTGACTTACTTTATTTGGAGGGAATTTCTTAATAAGGCTTGATAATTTGACTTACATTAGGTAATTTACGAAAATAATAATTAGCTTTAATTTATTTTAAATAATTATGCTAGTGAAATTAATTTTATGAATAATTCAGAAAGGATAAACATTTACCTGAATCATAAGAGCAATTCCTACAAGACCTTGAGACATTTGAGAAGCTTCACTCATGTTTCCATATAAATCGGAATTATAACCATAAATTTGCACCTGGAAAAAAGAAAAGAAAATTCTTTTAATTAAATATTTATTCTTAATTTAAAATTCATCTAAATAAAAAAGGTTGCCTTTATGTTTGCGAAATATTTATATTATGTATTCATTAAGTAATGAAGCCTTACTTAATGAAAGTTTACTAAATGAATGTAATTTTATTTTTAACTTAAGTAATGACCTTTACACAGTTTGAAATTTCTAGAAAATGGTGTCAACGGACTCCCTTTCTGTTGGTCATGGGAATGACAGATTAGCCCTCTCAGTTTTAATATATACCCAGTTTTAAGAAACTAAATGGCTTTATTAGGTGGGTCGAGTTGATGCAATAAATTTCCGGTTGTTTAACATTATTAAGTTAAAGCAGTTAAATTATGGTTTTTCATGCAGATAATATCTGGAATACCAACTTATTTATGGTTATTTAACAGTTTGTTTGAATATGATAAAATAACAATTAATTAAATTGTTACTGTATATAACCATTTTTCCATGAAATTTTCAACAGTGCATCTATATCACGTTTTAATTCATACGTAGTATGCGTATATACATGTGTGGACATTCAATAATGTTGTTTCTATTATACTTTGCTTTTCTTCGTGATAGTGTTAAAAATAGTTTAAAGTATCCTTGTCAAAAGTAAAGTTGAAAAAAAGCATACACAAAGTATGGCCAAAACAACAAAAATTTAATAAAATTTGTTTTGTTTCAGGCTTTATGTGAACACCAAAGAGGAAACCAAAGAACACCAAAGAACCAAACTGGGTAATTTTCATCTAAGATTTTTGATAGTAATTTAGGTAAAATTAAAGAAAAAACATGGTTATAAACACGTGACACTTGCTAACTTAGAACATAGCATAAAAATAATTTATGCGGTTAAATTTACTTTTAAGTTTTGTATTTTACACTAAATGTGTAACAATAAGACTTTCCAATAAACAGCTACCATATGAACGGGAAAAATACCAAATAAATGATTTAAATAATGGTTTTATCACCTGAATGTTTTTTTGTAGCACAATGTTTTCTTTTTGTATAATTTTGTTTGTTGGTATTTTAACCAAAAATGTCATTACAGTGCGGTAATTTCACATGTTTTTTTCCGTACACTTTAGCAAAACTAGATGGCTAAATTCTGGGGTATCAGATTTTAAATTGATTTAAATGAAAGATTGGCAGCTCAGATTAAAAAATAGATTATTCTGAAGGATTCTTCACTCGTAGGCCTTGACCCACCACAGGCTGTCATGCCAAATATGATTATTAAACATTAATTTACAATCCATAATGTATAATGTTTTTCTCGATTTTAAGAGTCTTATTTTTTACTATAAAAATTTTTATCAAGGTTGGTTCCACATATAGACAAGCATCTTGTTTAGATACTAAGTACCCTGTCTATACACGAATAGTCTTTAAAAATTGATTCATCTGGAACTATCTAGATTTATATATTCAGAGCAGGAAAAATAGAAGCGAAATTTATTCAGTTCTATTTTGATTTACCTTCCTTTTATTGAGGTATTTTACAACTTTCTCTTATTCTATAGCGACGTGGGAGGAATAGCAAATGTAAAATAGAACATCTTGAAAATCCCTTTTTAGGGCTGCATCCAATAAGTTCGGACATAGTGGGAATGATTTGTACATCCATGTCCTTTCCAAAAGAGATGTCAAGAAATTTCGATAAATGGACAATGGTCAATTCTGGGAAACTTCTCGAGTTTTAAATCTTGTATCGGAAATCATTTCTTTCTCTGACAATTTCTTTCGTCAGTGACAATAATGTATGAAAGATTTACAGCAGTTGCTGTTTAATACATATATATATATATACGGTTGATGTTGGGGCAAACTATATGCATTTCTAAGTTCTGAACTGTAGTTATGATGACATTAGTTAGATATAAAATGGGGAAAAACAATTATTTAAAAGGATTAGTGCGAATATATTACTAGAAATGTGCTAGTTTTTGAAACTATAACGATTTTGATGTTTTGCAATGAAGAGTTCACTGCAAAACATTAAAACCATGGAATTATTTAGTTGCACTGTAAAAAAATTTGAATTACCTTCAATATCGAAAATGGTTGCTCAAACAACACCGAAATGTTTTACTGTATTTATGTGAAATACCCCCTTGTGGTAAGTACTTTTATTTTATTTTGTAATTTTACTGACAAAAGTAAAAAAAAAGTTTTTTATGTACAAATATAAATAAATGTCAAAGAGATTTATAAGTATTTTTCTCGGTTTGAATTATGTTGTTGAAAATAAGAGAAAAAAGGGACCCATAAAACATTCGATAATAAATTCAAAACGATAAATATTTTCGGAATTTTAATTATGTCTCGATGCTTTGTGGCTTTTTGAACTCATCTAAAATCTTATTATATATTCAATGTAAAAACAAGAAGAAAATCTAACTTTGTTTTTGTAATTGTTTGAAAAATAAATATTTGTAAGTGACATATTTAGAATGTTAGCTTATTTTAATAATATTTTGGTATAACTTGATTTGCATTGTACGGTTTCCGTAGTTGAAAATTATGAAGTTGTCATAAATTAGCACAGGTAATATTCGATAAATATGTTCTAAAAATATCACCAAATTGAAAATAAAGATGTTTGATTAGTTTAAACTTTTATAATAGTAGAAGAAATAAATGTTAATAATGTTTGAAAAAAATTAATTTTATATTTTTTTAGACTGAACTTGAAAAATTTAAAAATGTTTTGCTAATTATTTATAGAAACTGATGATAAAAACTATTAAGATTACAAATTATAAAATTAAGTGATAATTTGAAGAAACTACATTTCTAATTATGTATAAGAATCTGTTGGTGGCTTCACAGTTTTTCTATAGCTGTTGGTAAATTTTTACAGCCTGGAAAACCACTTGGTCTGAACCAGTTTTTCCATATTAATTACCATACGTTTTGGTTGCTATCAGCATAAAACTGATAACAATCCCAATAACAAAACTAATAGCAAGGTGTTTTTCAGTAAAAAAAAATTTGCGTCCCAAATTTAAAAGCATTTATCCGTGATATTTATTTTTCTTATTTTACACTGTCAGAAATAGAATCTTGATTTTTATTCTTTTCCAAACAGAGAGTTCAAAGCCAAATGAGCAATTTCTTTATTTCTATGATATTACCTTATTACGCTGAATTTTAGCTTAAACTAATTTAAATAGAGTCCAAATTAATTAACCATTCTGAAAGTATTTTCTTTTGATGCGAACTACATTAATATGCTTACTGTTAAAGAAGTTAGTTAAATTATTTAAAACCTAACGTTCAGCCTTATGCAAAATATGATGCATGCACAAATTGTAATTACGCTATCATTCTGTGTGGTTAGTAAAAAAATGTAAACTACGGCTTCGGACTCACAAAATTTGTTCTAGAAATATGTCTTTAATTTTAAATGATACATAAAAAACGATTCCGAAACGAAATTATTAAGTTCACCAATAGATATTAATAGTATCTATTATAAGAAAAATAGAATCATAAGATATATTTTATGCCATTTTCCAAATTTGACTCAAAAGAAACATTTTATTTGCGAAAATTCATGTTGGACTTGGGAAGTGGAAGCACAAGCACTAGCAAAAAAATTTTCAACAGTGTGTATATTAAGTAAATTACTTCAACTTTCGTAGAAAGAAAATATTTTAAGCCAAGGAACAATAATTATCGAAACAATAATCAGGGATGGTGAGCTTCTGCAAACAAGGGGCATAGTAACATAAGAAATCGTAACAGAAGAAATCGGCTAATATATATAATAAGAAAGCACAGATATACATTAGAATTAACAAAGATTGTGAATCAATAAGCAATTTGTCTTTCTTGTATAAAATTCAAGTAATCGAAATAATAATAAGCTCTCACTACCTCTAATGAGCAAAATTTAGTAACCATACAATGAAATTATTTGAAGCTCAACAAATATCAACGAATGACTTTTCTTTTATATATATGACTTTAATAATTCAAAATAAACAATTAGCAATACAGGTTATCAAAAGTTGTGTATCAATAAACAGCTTACTTCATCTATGTGTCTCTAATAATCTAAGATAATTACTTAGAGATACAAATTATCAAAAGTCTTAAATCAATGAACATTATTCTTCCACACATCGAAAATTATGTCCGAAATCAAAATTGTTTGAATAGAATTTTTTTTTAAATTGCTAGTAGTACTAGATAATATTGATGCCCGAAAATTACAACACAATCAAAGGTAAACTGAGCCGTTTTGGAAATTTATTAGAATGTTTATAATATATGTACATTTTAACTAGTGAGATCAACTAACTAATTACGGCTTGATACTTAGCTGACGTCATATTCTCGAATATTAGAGAGCTAACAATTTCGGCAGCCGTCGTATTTGTTACTCAAACCTCCGACATCAAATTAAACTCTCAGTTGAAGAGATCTTATAATGTAATAAAATGAGCAGGGAGTTTATGAAAAAGTTCAAACTCAGTTTAATTGAAATCAACTTCACCATAGAAATATTAGTTTACATGCATATATTACAAGAAATATTTATTCGCATATTCTTTTTTTTTCTCTTCCTTCTGAAACTTTCATTAAGAATAAAGTAATAATTTCTTTGAACAGAATTTATGAACAAATTAAAAAAGTTAAAATATTGAGAAAATATGAAAATAATGAAAAACAATGACAAGAGAAGAAAAATTATCAAAATTATTTTTTGAAAGCATTTTTTTTTTACTCATCTAAGAAAAATGATTATTAAAAGAATCCGGAAAACGAAATAAAGAAAAGATATAATCTCTTCATCAGCTCACATGATTATATCTGCAAAAAAGAGTGCTTTCTAATATTTTATGAATAAAATTTGCACTGATTTTTAACAGGCGCCAAATATTATCTTTACTGGTGAAATACAAAAAATAGTGCTATATATATATATATATATATATATAGCANGCAAACTAAAT